TATATTTAGAACAATGATAAAGCTTGCAAGCAAAGGACAATAAATATTGTGAAAGTGGTCGCAGGCTCACACTGTCCATTTTCAAACATGGAGCTGGGAACATTAAGAATTAGGATTAAATTTCCGCGCGGGTTTGGAAACTCTGAAACTTGCAAACGTACATCGCAAACGCATAAGGGCAGGTGCATGTATCTAAATCTGATCAAAGCCAGTTGTATGTTGTTGGGCGTCTAATCAACAGTCCGCGTGTCTAGTTTATTCCCGTCCATACAACTTATGATAAGCATAAAAATGATTCAGTTTGTAAGGGCTTCGTAAGCCCATGTTCATGTTCAGAAAATGCTAACTAAAAAACTTTGGTAAAAAAATGGGAAAAATGGCGCTAAAACTCCGAACTTCTTCCTAACAATTTTTAGTTAATCCTCTGAGTGAATGTTTAGAGGAAGCAGTGGTGATAACTGAAGTCGGATTTCCCTCCACATTATTCGTAATAGCATTCAAAGCATTGCTGAAATCATACTCAATGAGTTAAGTCGTTCGTTATTGAGCAAAAATTAGATGAGCATAAATTTTTTATACGGTTGTTTAACGCGACAATTTATTAAAATGTTTAAAAATCGCTTAAGCTTTTAGTAAAATTTGTAATGGTATTTATCTATAAGCAAAGGCTGAGAGAATTTCGAATGCTTCGACCTGAACGACATCGTGCCATTCTTACTATATGCAGTTATTGCTATTGTTTTTGTTATTGTTGTTGTTGTTGTTGTTCTTATTCTTAGTTATTGGATAGTTTAGTCACGCGCGTCTAGAGCTGATTACGAGTATTCTACTAATGCAAGCAGACACAAAGGTACTGTCCGTGGGAGGAGGATGACACACATATATATAATTGCCAATAAGACAAGATCTCTTACGCATAACGTTTATAAGATTTTATTGTAAAAAAGTCGAGAAATTTTTTCTTAAACATTTTTCGTTCCTTTTTACGTTTTGTCTGTGCTTAGGAAATACAAATTGTTTTTTTTTTTTTTTTAATAGTACACATTTGTGTGTGTGTGTGTGTGTGTTTGTAAAGATTATTATAATGGATTTCTTTAGCAGCATAAAAACGCAGAGTGTATGTAGTCTTCAAGTTTTCATCATAATTATTTAACTATTTTTTTTTTCGTTTTTTTACAATTTTTTTTTAAGAAAAGAAAAACTTTCTAAGCAAACAAAACTATGACAAATTTTAAATGCAAAAATTTATCAAAACTAGTTTTATTTTCGTAGTAACAGCATATAACAAGTGAAAGAAAGAAATTTCGTTTAAATATTTTTTTACTTTTTTTTTCAAACATCTCATCAACTATTTGATGTTATTTCTCTAAAGATTTTTTTCATGACATCAAAAAAAAAAAAAAACAGGTAACGAATGCAATGATTGGTGTCAATTTAAAAACGGTTGAAATGCACATGTGGCCGCATGTAGCGCACATCTGTTTGAGAAAATAAATGTGCGAAAGATGACAATTTATGTTTATGTTTTTTTTTTCATCAGCCGCTACTGCGCACACACATGGCGCACAACGGTCAAGTTATACAAATTCATGAAAAATCCATAATTAAAGGCACGCTAACCAAGCAATTTCAATCCCAAGTGTTCATTGGGAAACGTGGAAAGCACAAAGCATTGCAAAATATTTAGACTTTAGACAATGAATTTTTTTCATATCCAGGTGGACAAACTATGTCTATTCCTCTTGCCTGCAACAGCCAGAAGTATTCATTATGGACCTGGTAAAAAATATATAATTGTGTTGAAACTTTTTAGCCAAATTCATTTATCCCCCTCCTGTCCGTCGGTATACTCGTAGTCTATTTACGATAAGAATTTATAAAAAAAACCGCAAGATCCTACTATTGCCGCTGGAGAGCTTGGCGCCATCATTTCCCGTAAAAGTAGAGGGCATTGAAAATATTACAAAAGCTATTCCCGTTCAAAGCGGGCGAGTACGCGAAGACTCCCGACTAACGACTTCAATGATCATGAGTTCATATCTCAAGTGCGCTAGAGTTTCCAATAAAGCCGATAGTCTTAGATGACGCTAAGACCTCGATCGGATTATTGTTATTAGTTTAGCCAGAGAATAAATTCATAAATTGCACTAGCAAGTAAGGCCGTCGACTTTTTTATTGACAAGCTCTACCGCACTTGAGATTTGAACCCTCGACCATTGAGTTGATGTAGTGGAGAGTCATTGCCTACTCGCCCTCTCTAGCGGATGACTTTTATCTTAGAGTTTATTTATAATAATAATAGTGCAGAACTGCTACAGAAACCAGACTTTATCGGACTTTAAAGTTTAAAAGTAAGGCACAATTGCTGTCGATCGACCAACGGTAGTGAATACTTCCAGTACCAAAAAAAAAAAAAATATTTCTGTGGCAAAGTTAAGTATATGAATTTCGTCCTCAGGCGAACGTCATTATAATACTTGTTTCCATAATCATTAAAAAGATTGTTCAAAGGTTAAAACACGAACTACGGTATTTAAAAGAAACACTGTTTACGAGTTTTTTAAGAGTAAGAGAGAATTACTTAATTAGTAGTAATTAACAATAATTCGCACTGTTTGAAGAAAAGTGAAAAAACTACGAAAAGTATTTGCCGACTTATTCAACCTATCAACATCAAGCGTCGTTACGTCTGCTATTAAGAGGTCAAAAGAGTGTTAGCTGTACCTTTGGATAAGGGAATGAAGTCAGAAGAGTGCGCAAAATGCAGTGCAGTGCAATGACGATATATGCATAATAACTAACTAAAAAACTATATTCGAGCCGCTAAGGACAAGCTCCAGCGGGCAGCAACTAGTTGCAAATATGTTTGCGATTACTTGACCTATGGATTTAAAGTAATTTCCGCAGCATCGACCACATAAGACCGACTGACTGAAGGTCGAACAGATCTTTGGTTAATCGACTCGCAATCGAAAGTTGCTGAAGTGTTAGCCATTTATGGACAGGTTTTATTAGACAAAAATATTTCTTTTAGAATTTAAAGTTGTTTTGCATATCTCTAGCACAACATGCTATGTCTAGCGTACTTTATGCTATGCACATGCTACGCCTAACGGCACGTATGCCTTGCATAGCAGAACTTATACTATTTGTGGCATAACTTATGCTGCCCGTAGCACAGTTTTACTACAGTTTACACTATTTGTGCTGCAGGTAAGTTATGCTAGTTAGGTTGCCGTACACAACTGAGTTTATGCTATTTACACCATAACTTATCCTACGTATAGCAGAACTTTTTGTAGGCGTAGCATAGTTTATGCCATATGAAGCGTTATTTATAATTTTCTAATACATAAAAGAGCTTACACTTCGCGTAACATAATATATACTGTGGATTATGGGAGGTTATGCTATGCGTAGTAAAACTTCTGCTACACTTGGCATAAGCGCATGGATTTTTGTTTTAATCAAGAAGGATCGTAAATATAGAAAGTCGACGAGGTAGAACAACATATGCGTATTTTCTTGACTTGAAGGAAGAAATATCTAGAGCAACGGGAAAGACCACTGCAGTGAGCAGTGAGCAGTGAGGGCAAGCAAACGTGATTCGCATTAGTTTCGCCTGCTGTGTACGCAAAAGCTCAGTACGAATGGGCGAGAGGGCTGAGAAGGGCGAGTCATGCTATTAAAGGAGCCAATTAGTGGACGAGTGCTCTCCACTCCATAGAATACTGCCCGTGGAAGTGTCTTTACATAAACACAACACAAGTTGCTTACCACTGTCTGAGCATCTTCACTGTATACTTCATAAAACAGAAACTTCAGGCTGGAGTTGGAAAGGTCTCTCGTGCAAAATGCCATACGATAGTATGTTGAAATCAATTATAAACCGAGATTCTTTTCGAACACTGCCAGATAATTTTTTTTTTTTATTGAAAAAGTTTTTTGAATAATTTTCTTTTAAGAAAAAGCACCAGAAATTAATATTTCCTCTTGAAAAGGCTCTAAACGCGATGGTCTATCGATATTATTCAGAGTTCAGTGTTTCTTACGTATGGTTTTTCAATAAAAAAAATCAAAAGATGACATCCTATATGATCGTGTTGACATTGTACGCTAACTAAACGGATTCTTTCCAATCCTAAGCATATTACGATCGGTTCAGTCTAAAAACACTAAACGCTTTTTTTTCTCATACTTAAATTTATATACAATTTGCGGAAAATTACCTATGCACGTATATACGTTATTTTCATAACTACGTTCTCATATATATACGCGGCATGTGATTATAGTCAACTGACAATGGCAAGCGAGTTGGGATCGATAACAAAGCAACATTTTATTTATGGATATTAATGTAACAAGTAATGCTACTTTGACGTGCAGCTTGAACTGCAATTAAACTTGAGCATTTCGTTTGTTTGTTAGGTCTGAGAAAATTGTTACAAAAAAATGGAAATTTTTGTGTTCTTTTTTTTTCTTATTTTTCCATTAAAATAATTATTCATTTATAATTTTGTTTTCTCAAGGGCGTTTTTCCTTTCTCTAACAACGTTCATGTTCATAATTATAAGCATATATATATATATATATATGTGTATATGTATGGAGGTATATATAATATACCTATGCACATAATTGATGCTTTCTTTGTTGAAAATGTTGAAAATATTTATGCAGAAAAATGTAAAGATGCATACAAAAGTTCGATTTAATATAGTTTACGGTATATGAAGAAAAAATTAAGTAAAATTTGTGGCAAACCTTTTCCGTAATCTATTAATTATTCTTTTATTTTTTTTTCTAATTTTTCACAAATAAAACGAAAAATTTTCTTTTGTTTTTAACGTAAACTTATCACAAATTTTCATTAGCTTATACTTTAAAAAAAAATTTGTTATTTAATTCCGCTTGTTAATTAATTAAAAACTGCATATATATATATATATATATATATATTTGTTATTGTTATTATTGTTGTTGTTGTTGTTTAGTACCTTTTCTTATTTATTATTTCTCTCTCATAGGTAAACTTGTTTTGTCGCTTTTATACACAATAATTAATTTTTTTTTCTTTTATTTACTAAATATGCGGGCTAGAGAATTTGTGCACAACAAAAATATATATAGAGAGGGAGGAAGGTCATATATACACAATACAATACAAATGTAACAAAAATCAACTATTAAAATAACAAAAATAAAATAACTTTGCCGCTTTTCAAAATCCGCACAAATCGCCGTTTAGTGAGAGACTAATTTAATGATTTAATGACGGTCTCACTTATTTCAAATGCGACTACTTTGACTAGAGTTGCCATCCCATTCAAGTGCAGGAATTGCACTAAAAGTTTTCGTAAGAAATACTTAAGGAAATCTGGCGGCTCTTAAGCGCGGTTGGGATATTTTTCAATAGGGAAATTTAAAAAAAAAAAAGTAAAAATATATTCAATACATAGCTTTAGGCTCACGAATTACCCCAAGTAAAGAAAAAACAAGAGAGATGGCGTTCAGGTTGCATTAAATTTGCTTACCGCATATCTTATCGCAACATGTATTGAAAAAAGGAAAGGTGTTGGGAATATTACGACATGTTGTCTATTCATGCGATGCTCGCGCGAACGTGCAGATGGACTCAGTGACGCGTACTAACCTTTTGGCACCCATAGATATTCAACAGTTGCTTGCATGTAGTTTAAGTAGCGACCTCTATTGGTGAAAATGATAAAATAATATCAGCGTACAACAACGGTTAAATGCGATGATTTTGACTTTTATCCACATAAAATAACAGTTTTCTATTTAGTAGCATCGAGCTATTCAGTAGTTTCTGTTAAACCATCACATAACTCAATAAACTGTCATTTTGTGTTAAAAACCTCCAAAATTTATTCGGCATAAACTTGCAACCGGCATATCTCTATAAAATATCAATGTGTCAACATATTTATTAGCTCGAATATTTTAGATTTCATCCCATTATTTCGTGCAGGGGAAATAATTGAATATAAGTTAAGCCGAAGAACTATTCGAATCGAATTGTTGTTCTTTTTCTCAAAAAAAAGAATATTTAACTCTTAACAGAGCGAGGTTATTTTAAATTTATTTATCATTAAGTCCAAGATATTTCATAAACTCTTTTGTCACTTCCTTTGTGTTAGAGTGAGCATCAAATAAAAGGGATTGGAGCATAGAATGGGTAAAGCTAAGTATATGGCATTTATATTCATAATAATTGCCTTGATAAGATTATTAAGTAAGAATGCTTGAAGAATAGGAGATCAAGGTAAGTGCATTAATTATTTTCTTATAAAGGCTTGGGGCGTAAGATTTGCAATTTTTTCTAAGCGCTCTGGGCTTTTGTGTTTCCGACACCGTTTAAATAATCATCGAATTGGCGAGAAATTCTAGTTGCTTTACGCTGTTCCTTTTGAATATCGCCGGCTACACATTTTAAAAACCGAAATGGTGATATCAGTCCGTGAGAGTAGACGCAAGACATTAACAACAGCCGAGACATACCGACAGTTACATTTCATTCATTGTTCCCGAAGAATTTTTACGGCAAAACATAAACAATGTCCTCTAACAAGTACCAAAGTCTCTTGACGTAGCTCTATTTTTTTTGTTGTTCGCTCAAGCGAAAAAAAAAAGAAATTTTGTTGAAGAAGTTGAAGAAGTTATCTTATCGATATGTCTACATGTATCTTCCTCTGTTAACGGAGAGCGGGACAAAAAGCTGACGTAGTCATAATGGCAATCAAAGGTCCACTTCTTTCATAACTGTTGTTTCCTTTTAGACCTACGCAGACTATTAAACATCCAAAAAGCGCTTGATCTAGTCAATTTTTGAAGGCTTATAATTAATTTCTATATAAAATTCTATTACTTTCATGAGAACTCTTACATGAGAGTAGTTTGGAAAAATGGACACCTATTAAATATGCCAAATGTTTTGCGTAGAGCTTTATTCGGGAAATGGCCTTAAAAATTGCTCGATCCATTCCATTTCAATAGGATTTATTGTCAACAAATATCTGAAAATCGTGAGTTGTAGCTTGTGGGCAATTATACATCGACAGAGAGAAGAAGAGATAGATGGACAGATGGACAGACGGGCAAAAGATTACACTGAATTCCTCGGTATAATAAGGAAGTCCGCTTAAAGAGTTCAGAGTACAACATAAGTCGGCACAAGTGCTCTAGTGAAGGGAGAGAATTAAGCATTGGTGTGCGCATCGCGTTTAATAGGCGACGATTTTTTTTTTACTTATACTTGGCATACATCCACATATGTTTATTAGCGCACAAAAGAAATTTAAATCGCAATTAGTTTAATTTTTTTCGTATATATATTTGCATGTATTTCACAAAAAAAACCCAAACGGTTGTATATTTAAAAGTTGTAATTTTGTATGTTATATTTGTAGATAAAATGTAGAATATTATATCGTTATGTTACATGTAAAATATAATTGTAGAATATATGCGTATATACATAAATTAAAGTGCATAAGAGTAGAAAATATATATAACAAAATTGAACATCGAGATAACAGTCAATAATTTATTTATTGCATCTTATAATTAGTTATTGCGCAGTACAATTATTGTCAGAGAATGTCTAAAAAACAGGAAATGAGTAAAATCTCTTTATACTCATGTATCCATAAAGTATGCTATTAATTTGCAACTTTTATGAAATGAGAAAAAAAAGAAAGAAAGCAAAACAAAAACAGCTGAATACAAAGCTATCCAGTTGCCTCCTATTTTATTTTCCCGATTCTTCGGCCTTTTCGGATATCGCGAGCTGTTTATATTTTAGTTCCACGAAGCAAAAGGTAATAGTGCCAAAAGTTGCAAATATTACCAAAATTCCTAATTGGACACCTAAGCCCAAATGGTATGCGTAAAAGAAAGCGATTGCCGCCGCAACGGACTATACAAAAAAGAATAAGTTAATAAGAAGCTTGTGATTGGAAAGTCACTTCTACAAGGCATATGTGACCTGCTTTACCTGGGTAAATTTAAAAATAGCAAAAGCCGCTGCAGATTGTTTAACAAAAACTCCGGCTAACATGGAATAAATTTGTGTATTAAAGGAACCATCACCTAAGCCCAACATGAGAGCGCATAACAAAGCCAGCCAGATCTTTGGAGGATCTATATACGATACATCCTCCGTTTCCTTAAATGGCGCATTGTCGGGCAAATTTAAGTAGATTAAAAAAAACGCCACTAAATGTATAACGTAAGCGGTAATGACGATTGGATTTCGACCAAAACGTGCAGTTTTCGAACCCAAAATACCAAAAACTGTGCCTGCTGTCACTCCACCTATACCTATGCAAATCCCGATTATACCCACATATTCTTTGGGCGTTTCGTGAATTTTTTCAGTAAATCCAACTGAAGGTCCATAAATACCGCTAAAGAATGACAACTCAAGACCTAAAATATTAAAAACAAAATTAGTAAATTAAAATTTCCTTAAAAAAAATAAAAGAATGTTCCCTTTACCTGTGTATACGAAAGTTAGGGTAAGTAACATCATGTCACGAGTTATAAATAACTTTCCGGCCGATTGCAATGCATACCGAGCATTACCCCATGCAGATCGCGACATATTTGCGTTCGTATCGCCCATCTCTGAGTTATCAGGTACTCGTCTCACAGCGATTAGGAATAATACTCCCGCAAATCCCACTGCAGACAAGACGATAACGACCATTAGTCGCGTATTTTCGTCGATGTGCGCCTTATTTCGGAACGCAAAGTAGACGAATAAATTACCGAAGAACATATTGCACTGCAATAATGCCCAGAAGATGCCAGAATTGCGTGATATATTGCTGGAATCACTGCAACGCGCCAGCAATGCACCCTGACCGGTCCAGAGTGTAGCCGCACCAAAACCCAATAAAGCACTTGCTGTATACAAAAGCCCCGTCATAGGATAGAGGAACGTAGTCATGAAAAATCTTAAGAAATTTTTATCAGAATCCATTACTTTCTTTTGTCTCTTCTGCTGAAACGGATCTTACATGTAAATCAATGACCCAACCACCATAGCTACCCGGGGACTCGTAGATGCTATAAACGACGGAGCCAACCAATTGAACAATGAAAATGTTAAATAAATGATTGATAAACTGACGTAACCGTCGCCAGTGAAGCTGGCATCATCTTTTTTCAAGCTTTCTAATATCGTCTTCTGCAATAGAATACAAACAAGAAAAAAATTAAACTTTCATTTGCAAAACTAAAACTACCGTTCATTAATATTCAAATTAAGTTTGGCATTATTTATACCTCACATGAATTTAATTCAAGTTCAAGTGATATTCGTTCGATATGCATTCTCCTCCATAATAATTACATGATATTCTGTTTGTTTACATTTAAAAAAATAAAAACTTTTTTTCCTTTAAAATTTGTTATCGAATGGTTCATAACTCGCCCTCGGTTTGCAACACGTAAAGTGAGAGAATTGTATAAGGATGCGTCTTGTGATTGCCTAGTACATGAGAAAAATGCATTGATTGCGGTTTTCCTATTCGAAGTCACTGCGAAATGCAAAGTCTCTCAGACGCGGAGAGTGCGGTATTTTCAAAATCATTAAAAGTTTGCCACCTTTTTACTCAACGACCTGTCGTTTGCTTAAATGTTTGAGATAGCAATCTTCCTTAAACGATTTTCCACGGTCGAGAAGGTCACGTCAATAAGAACGCGTTCTCGGAGCTGCGGAGACGAGCTAGCTCCGTGAGAGTAAGTCAAACGACACTCCGCTACATTTTAAAAAGTGATCAGCCACTGGCAGGTTAAGCACTGAAAAGACATACAGTGCAATCCCACACACCCTAACGGAAAAGCCTCCGTTATTAGCCTCCTCGAACGATAGTTGCTCAACTGTTTCCATGGGAGATACCTACAGTACGTAGAGTTCAACAGCGCGATGCAGGATGATATAGGGGTTAAGTGTAAAGCAGCACTATCCTCCAGCAAATAGAACAATCTCGAAAAATTTGACCCTACCACTGCTGAGCTGCCGGAATGAGAAACCTTTAATGGCCCATTTCCTTTCCTCTGCACAAGGCCAAGACCATCTAATATCGCAACATTAATAAATTTGGGGTAACCGTAACTAACATGAACTTCCCAAAGGGCCGTTCACAGCTTTCAGAAAAGGCACGTTCTGTACAAATATTCTGTAAGCAGCTATTTCACGTGGAGCAAGCCTCTTGTCTCTCAATACGACAGTCGGCTTGGATAACGAACCGTAGATGTAGTGAATACGTATCAACAGTGATTCAGTTCTTGCCGACATACCGAAAAGATACAGCCATGAGAACTTAACATTAGCTATAAAGTCACATACTCAACGCTCGAAAGCCGCTTACGCCACAGGTGGCATTCAATTTGTATGTTTTTTCGAAGATTGTTCTTTGTTTTTATTAAGACCAGTTGAGCTAACGAGCCAGTAAATTGATCTTTATAAGAAGTAAAAGAATTTTATGTTCCTAAATGAAGTTTTGAAATTTTTATCTTAAAACCTCGACAGAAAAGTCAAGGTTTTCTCACCCAGAGCTTGTGGGGTATCCCCGTAAGCAAAGTCCGACTTCATATTCACCTACGGGCTGTTTAATAAAACTCAATTTTTGCTTTTCACGTGAAATCAACACAAACCGCGCAAACCCCAATCCATTAAATAACTTAATTTAGTTGTTCAAATCTTTTCAAGATCGCGATATTTTTGTGCTCCCATTTATAACTAATCAGAAAATTCGGGCTGGACTCTGTGATCCTCAAATGGGGCAGCCAACTGTATTGATATTGTTGTGTTGTCTGACTCTGTAACAGCGACAACAAACAAAATTATTTATGTTTAGGATGTAAAAAGAACTTTTATAATTAATTACTGTCGAATCCGCCTGAGTGGCCGAAGGCGAGGAATCTCGGCTAGCAACTCAATGGTTATGGGTTCGAATTTCAAGTGCGGTAAAGTTTTTGATAAAAGCCCATAGCCTTAGATGCTAGTGCTTTTAAGAGTTTAGTCTTAGAGTTTATTTCTCTGGCGAAGTTAATAATAATAATAATAATAATAATAATTATTTTCGAATTTGCACAAAACGGTAGAAGAGTACAATCCAAACCTTTGGAAACAATTAAATGAAAACATTCATGAGATAGAGTTTCTCATAAAGCCGGCTTAGATTAATTGAACTTGATATGATACGAATTTTTAAAGTATTCATTGCCTTCACTAGGCCTACCTCCTTCGCCTTGAGCTTTTCTCATAACAATTTTCAAGGCGGAACTGCTTCTGCCCCCTGCTGCTTCTTGCCCCCTTCTTTATTTAGCAGTTACTCGGAGGTTAAAACTACGGTCATGGTTACGAATGGTTCTGTGATTAGTATTTACGCGCGTGCCATTTAAAGGCGAGAACAATAAGCAAAAATGGCGGGAAACATTGCTATTGACTGCATATTCTAAAGGTATTACCAAACTCTTTTGCTAAGCCTCGATTCATCATTTTACTTTATTTCACAACTCAAGTGCGGTCTGTTTTGTTTATTATTATTTTTAGGGTATTGCAATAAACTCGTAATGTGTGTAACCGTCTGTTACTACTTTTTCAAACATTCCACAAGGTCCTCATTGTATAGCGAACAGAGAAAACACCATCAATTTCCATTAAATCATAATAAGTCTGCTCTAAAGCGTTTATAGAAATTTAATATATGAACGATAAGCAATGACCTTAATACTTATCTCATAATGATTGCATTCATTCTCACACAAATTCCAAGGCGTACGTAATCACTTTCCTCTATTAACTAATTGCAATTAAATTGTTAAATATCCATTAACTGTTCTGTGCTATTACAGCGAGCAGTTGCGTTCTTTAACATAACTAATTACAGTATGTACCCTAAAGTAGATGATGCATATGATATGAGTTATATGCAAATAACACGCTGTTAAAGAGTTGCGAGTTGCGCCTAAACTGGAAATCTTAGTGGAAAATTTTCGTTAGTCTGCAAATTAAAGTATAAAGATTGTGATTGTAATGTTGTTGGTGTACTTTGTACCCCTACGTATCGTTTTTATTGTTTTTTTTCCTTTTTCTGGAAATCAAAACATTCTAAAATGTCATGTTATCTCAGTCTACAATGTTAAAGAAACAAGTTTACTTACCTGATTTAACTCGACAGTCCAGCAGTTCCCAAAATGCTTCGAAAATCTCTTTGGCCGATATTATGAGTGTAAATCTTACTAAGCCACATTTGCACATCGTGCAGAGGTCACATTTTGACCAACTAAACACCCTGAACTAAATTAGCTTTTTATTTTCGAAAGGTCAATGGATTTCAAAAGGTCAACCTCGTAAATTTGTGCCGATAACGAATAACATTTATTCTTTACGAATGTCTGCAGGCTTCTTAACTCTATTTATACACCTGAGGCAATCAGGGGAAAGAAGGCTTCATTCCAATTAATAAGGTTGATTGATTGACTTTTACTTTTCTGCTCTGTCTATAACAATTGTTCTTAGGTTTTAATTTTTTTCAATTCTTCAACAGTAATCCCTTACTGCGTTGCGAATGACATCGGCAAAAGGCGAGGCTTGGAGGAATTGAGAAGAATACATAGAAGACGATATTTGGGAAACCCCATAAGTTTATCAGTTCTTCAATTTTGCAAATATCAGGAATGTACTTAGAAAAACCCCTCGGACCTTTAATTGATTTGACTTTTTAAGTATTTTATCGTTTTCTCCTTTGGATGGTTGGATAATTTTGTCTTTACGATTAGCGTCTTATCGTATCTGTTTCTTTAGATGTCAACTTTATTGACGTCTATTAAATAAACAGCAACTCCTCACTCCACTAAAAATAAAGTCAAGATTTTTCGCTAGCCAAGAGCATACATTTAAGAAAATCTTTAACAGAAAACTCACGTGCTGTCAATTCTTTAAACTGAATCACAAATTTGCAACAATCGTAAACACATATGTAAAGAAAAACATATTATTTAATTAATTAATTTGATTTATGGGCCGTTTTGACATTTCGCCTTTTTGATAGGTCTACCGCTGCAATTAATGACAACATAACTGGTATATTTTGTTCAAGTCTTAATTCGTTTAATTCCCACCAAATCAACAGTAACTTCTTACTCCATTCATAATTTTAGTGTTTAATTCAATGAAAAGCATGGTATCGAAGGTTCTGTGATGCCACATTACCCATCTTTCATCTTAGAACCGATAATAAAATTTTTGTCAAGCATCCTTACAGAAAACGCCAAGATTTTTGTCTTTAAGTGCAGCTCAACGTGTGAGCAGATAACTTCTTGGATTGAGAGATTTCACAGTTGTGGATCCATCCATTTCATGATTTCTCACCAGCAATAAACATTTTCATTTCTAATAACACTTTCCTTTTGCTTCAAAGTCCTCCTGCTCACAACCGAAAGATCACAATATCATCACTTTTGCCGATCATTAGGGTTATAGCTATTTCTTTAAAGGATAATAAATGAGTTCTTTACTTCTCGACAGATTGTTTTTTAAAAATTGCTGAAGAATATGTGTTTTTTCTTTGACGGCGGGTCGTTGAGCAGGTAGTTCGTGACAGATAAATAGTTGAGTGGGTCGAAGAACGTCTGATATCTAATCTGTAATGTTTCTTATCTGTGGTTCCAAAGAAAGTGCCATCATGCGCAGGCTTAGGGTAGGATTCACAATTTTTTTTTTTTTTTTGGATTTAAAGCACACAACACCTTGGGAACCTCTCCTTTGAAACATGTTTTCGCACACCATGTAGAGTGCAAATAAGATAATAAAACGAGGTTCAGGTCGAATTTTGAAACGTCTTTGAGGATTATAATAAATTCCGAACAGCATTTTCACCTTGAATTTTTGTCTCATCCTAATAAATGTTTGCATAAAATTTTATTTCAATGAATTAACTTAACTAACTTCAGGTACTGTCAGCCAAACCAAGTCAAACCAGACGCGACGCGAAACGAAAAACAGAAAAAGAAACCAAATACACTCACGTCTTTCTCCAGTTAGTATCAAACGCTAAAGTTTAAAAAGCTAACATAAAAACTCGTTTGGCTTTACTGAATGGAATGGAAACTGGTTTTTTACATAACATATATTTATATATATATGTATGAACAACACATAAACATATATCGATAATC